AGAAAAACAGCCAGGAAATGATCTCTGCAAACAATATTATTTTATTTTTTTCTTTTAAATTGAAAGCAAAAATTGCACACAGACTCACCTAGGCCAGGCTCAGAGTAGCCTGGTACTGCTTTTACAATGGCTCTGAAAATGAGAGAAAAATAATGGTTTATAAAAGTGGCACAATAAAAACAAAATGTGATGAAAATATTTATGAAATAGAATGTTCCAATTAAATTATATGTATTGGTTAATTATATTTAAGCAGAAAACTTTTTATTACCACTCGCATTGAAAAGCTTACAAAAATTTTAAGTACATGCCCCTCTTTCAGTAACTAGGATATTATGATTACAATTGATACTGTGTTTGGCAAACTCAAACACTTCAGGGGCCGGGTATGAAGGGTAAATAAATGAGGCAAGTCAAACAAAGCATACCCAGGAGCCCAACATTTAGCCTTTAGTAATGGCCTCTAAATGTCTTTTATTAAGCAGTCTTTCATTGAAAGCTGACTTATATTAAGCAGTCCTGTGGCGTTTGCCCCTTTACATTTACCTAATACCACCCACCATCCCCATGAGGTATAGATATTGCTATTGCCTCCATTTTATAAAGGAGAAAAGGGAGGCACTAAAAGGATCAGGAACTTGTCTGTGGTCACCCAGCCCTACCTAGTAGTGCCCACAGTAGATGCCAAGCAGTGTGACATCAGGACATGAGCCCCTACTCACCATTAATCTGGGCTTAATAATTACAGAATGGTAAACGGACATACTGTAATTATTACACAGATTAACCTATAATCCCCACCAAAACTCTGAGAGGTAGACACTAGTATTTATACCTGTTTTATACATATGGAAACTGGATGGCAGAGAGGTCAAGACAGCTGCCCCGTGTTACACAGCTAGTAACTGCAGAGCAAGGAGCTGAAGCCCCACGTGGTCTGTTTCCAGAGCCCCTGCTCTTGATATGGTTCTCAACTGGAGCGATTCTGCCCTCCAGAGGACATTTCACTGTACAGAGACATTTTGGTTGTTCCAACTTGGGGAGGTGGGAGATACCAGCATCTAGCACGTAGAGGCCAGGGATGTTGCTAAATATCCTACAATGCACAGGACAGCTTCCCACCCATAATACAGAATACCTGGCCCAAAATGTCAGTAGTGTCACTGATGAGAAACCCTGGTCTATGCAATTATTACTGTGCGGCCATGTAGATAGAAAATAGGCTATTGCGATAGATGGGGACTGACAACACATAATTTAAAGTCTTCATCTCTAAATAAATCTCGGCTATCAGATTGCTTTCATGTTGTCTCTTTGCTCTAAAGAGTGAACTGTAAAAAAATAATCCAGGGGCCAGCCCGGTGGCGCAAGCGGTTAGGTGTGCACGTTCCGCTGCGGCGGCCCGGGGTTCGCCGGTTCGGATCCCGGGTGCGCACCGACGCACCCCTTGTTAAGCCATGCTGTGGCGGCGTCCCATATAAAGTGGAGGAAGATGGGCATGGATGTTAGCCCAGGGCCAGTCTTCCTCAGCAAAAAAGAGGAGGATTGGCATTGGATGTTAGCTCAGGGCTGGTCCTCCTCACAAAAAAAAAAAATAATAATAATCCAGATAATTTAGTACTTTAATTAATCAAGTCATTGGGGTTGTTTTTTTTGTATCTTATTAAGATGTTCAATACTACAAATTCTATATAATAAAAATTTTTATTATGAATCTCTTTTACGAAGAGAATCTTAGACACTTCTTTTTTTGCCACCACATATGCGCATTATAAAATTCTCCCATACATCTCTACACTGTTATCTCTTTAACCAAAATTGCTACCAATGAATCTTTCTTACCTCCTTTTCCCTTCTGACATTTATAAGTTATTTCCCACAAGTCACAACGAAGGTGTTGGTGAAGAAGAAAAATATGAAAGGAATCCTTTTGCCCTTAATTACTTAGCAGCTGTCTTGGCATATTGCTTTCCCTTCTCCTTTTTGCCCCTGAAATGCCTATTATCTCTATTAATTATTTTCAGTGCTTAGAAAAACAATATGTAATGGGTTAGACAGAAGGGGAGTTAGAGATGAGGAGCAGTGACATCACTAAAACAGCTGGCTAAGATGGAGCGTTCCTGCTAGTGAAATACAAGGCATAAAAGATAAAATTCTTAAATGATAATACGCTTCCTGGAGGAAAGGGGAAGGGGCTTCAACAATGGTCATTAATCCACAGCTCTCCTGTCAACAGTGGCTTATTTAAACATCTGTTAAACATTTGTAAATTTTAACAAATCTGCCTCGAGGTACTTGGAATTCTCTGAAACAGATTTCTTCTAGGGTTCAAAAAAATGTGTTCTTTTAAGCTTAAAAACCCAAATGACCTTCTTAATGAGCTTCTGACCAAACTAGAACTTTCTAGATTTAAATTTTGTGTACTTTTGGTCAATGTGACTTCCTGTTTTTGAAAAGAGGAAAGAGATTAAGAAGGCTCCAAAAGCTGCTTACATTTTAGACTGTTCTTTAAATATTGATTTTATGTGAGTTAAGTATAAGCTGATTAAAAACATATGGATTAAATTTTCCTTAAAATATGAATAGTTTTAAAAATTAAGAAGGGGGAATGCTTGGCAAACTGTGATTATTTTTTGTCAAAGCAAAAATATTTGAAAAGTAGTTGTTGCCATTAAAAAAATATTCCCAATACAGCTAGATTTACCCTTCCTTTACTTGTTCTCTTTAAGTTACTAGCATTGGGCAAACTGTCATAAATCTATTTTAAGAGTATACATATTATTAGGAACAATAAGAATTTATATGGCAGAATTTATGTTTTGGGGATTCTTTTTCTGTTACTTTAAAATTATATTCTCAAGAATTGCTCTGAGCAGAATTTTTCTTGTGCAAGTCCATGTGGTAATAGTTTTTAAACCTCTTAATAAATTGGTTTCATATCACATTTAAACGCAGTTCATGAAAATTTGATTTGTTTCTACCACAGCAATTATAGATTATATAGAAATAAAAGGATATTTGTTATGGTTATTATCTTAGTCCATTCGGGATGCTGTAACACCATAAATTGGTGGCTTATAAACAGAAATTTATTCCTCACAGTTCTGGAGGTTGGGAAGTCCAGGATCAAAGGCACTGGCAGATTCAGGGTCTGGTGAGAGCCTACTTTCTGGTTCACAGAAAACATGTTCTAGCTGTAACGTTACATGGAGGAAGGGGCAAGGGAGCTTTCTCCACTGGCCCTCTTTTTTTTGTGAGGAAGATCAGCCCTAAGCTAACATCCGTTGCCAATCCTCCTCTTTTTGCTGAGGAAGATTGGCCCTGGGCTAACATCCTTGCCCATCTTCCTCTACTTTATATGGGACGCCGCCACAGCATGGCTTGACAAGCAACGCGTCAGGTCCGCGCCTGGGATCTAAACCCGTGAACCCCGGGCCTCCGAAGTAGAGCGCGTGAACCCAACCACTACACCACCGTCCACTGGCCCTCTTTTAAAAGGGCACTGATCCCATTCATGAGGGCTCTACCTTCATGACCTAATCATCTCCCAAAGGCCCACCTCCTAACACTATCACCTTGTGGGTTAGGATTTCAACATATGTGTTTGGGGAGGGAAGCATAAATATTCAGATCATAGCAGTTACTCATGTTAGTGATAGTATTTTTAAACACAAGGCTATCTCCTATGTCTGTGTATATAAGTTTAATATGTGGGTCACAGAACTTAGACTATAAGTGAAACTAGTAAAATTAGCTCTTTTACTAAGTTCACATAGTTGCCAAAATACAGAAATATGCAAGACGGTTTAGCAAAATTTTCCCTTAAAGAAAACATAGTTAGCATTGGAGGGTACAAGGGCAAGTAAAAGCTACAGAGTAATTTTAACTTGAATCTCCTGCTACTAATTAGGCTCAGTTACATGATCCTTGACTAATGCAGCTAGGCACCAATGAACAGGTGGGACCACTGCAGGGGAAGTTTGACACGATCTCTCTGAGAGGTGTCTAGGTATGAAGCTGTTATTAGAGATCATCACTTTAATTTCTAGAAAAGCATTCATAGAAAGAAAAAATATCAAGTACTATGTCTAACTATATTACTGTAGATAGCAGTTTCTATAGTTGTCAGATTTCTCATATTTACTAAACTAAATTTTATTCGCCTTCTACTCTCCCCAGCTTTCTAGCTACTATAAAGAATGTCACAGTTGGCTCTACATAAGTTTTATTTATCAAAGTAAAACAGATTCATAATATATATATACAAAGTATAATGATAATAAGTTGAGAGATCTGTAACCTATACCTTGTATAAGCTGTTGGAAATAAAAATCATGATAATTGCTATTAAAAATCATTACCTACTATAGGCAAGAAACTGCATTAAATAATTCACATACTATTGTTATCTTTTTAATCTTGCCAGCAATCACGTAAGGCAAATACCATTCACATGTTACAGAGGATGGACCTGGGAGAATTTTTATCATAAAGTGACAACCTGGGATTTGAGTACAAGGTTTTCTGCTTTTAAACAGAGTTTATACTAAATCATGTTATATATCAAATATATATGTATATGTGTGTATAAATAGATGCATATATTTGCATTTCAACACTTGTTACTGAATTCCACTTCAGAATGTGATTGTCACTAATGTATCTGTTTCTGAATATTAAATTATCTTTCAGTTATATCACTTTGAGTCCAATATTAATCCAAAGAGGTGCTGAACACTCTTTGTACTATGTTGAATCCAGCCCTCTTCATTTTTCTGTGTTATAGGTTTTTATGGAGATTTTATCTATAAATATACTTAATACATTGATGTTGATCTTATTTTTAAAAGAACTTAAATGCCTCTAGTAAAACCATAATCCTTCCCAACACAGTACATTTTTATGTCAGTCATGTTGTTTTCCTTATAAGAGATGTTTGGATATGTGTGGGATTAAGCTACTAAATTTTACTCCCTTCTTTATTTCATTATCCATTCCAGGAACATCCCTCACTAGGCCAACTTTCAGAAAAGTTAATAGACAACAACATTAATGTCATCTTTGCAGTTCAAGGAAAACAGTTTCATTGGTATAAGGTATGTTAATTCCAGAAATATAAAAATTAAAATGTTTGCGTTGGTAGTTGAAATTAGAAGACTTCTTAGAATTCTAGGTAAGGATTCTGGAATTATTGTACTTTGTACAATCTAAATTTAATACTGTATTAATTAATATATACTACATAGTGTCTTAAGTTAGCATTTAAGTATAAATTCTATCTGTTTGTAACACCTAGAACCAAGTGTGTACACTCATACTTAGTGTGGTACTGACTGTGACAATAATGGAGAAGACTTTAGTCAGGTGAAAAGTAGTTCACACTCCAACTACCCCTTTCGTATTTGGAGACCTGCTTATATTCTGGTCCATGGGCACATCCTTATAATAGATTATGTTGGGGAATATCAGCTTACTTTTCAATAGCACCAACATACCTAGATTTGGTCTAGGTCATCCAGTAAAGGAACAGAAGAGTGGAGGAAGCAGTTGACCCAGTCAAACCCTTTCTACATAAGAACAATCTTGGTTTTGTCCAGAGTCCCTCTGGCCAGGTGACACTCACAAGCAGAATAGACATTTGGCATCTATGTCACTCTGGCAGTGCCATGGGACTCCCCACCCCCACCTCCACATGGAACTGTTCTTCTATACCCCTGCTATAGCTTTTTTTCACAGTATTTTGGGTTCTTTCTTCCAGGAAACTTTTTTTTTCTTCATTTCCATGATGCTGTGATACCCTAATTTTCATTGCACATGTCTGATCACTGGGTTTTCTTCATCTCCTTCATTGTCTTTGCTTCTTCCTTCTACTCCCAATGTCGTTTACTTATTTTTTAATACTTCAGAGAAATTACATTTGCTTTCAGCTTCAACAAATACTTGAACCCATTTGCATTTGCCACAAAGCTGGTGTTCCCTCCACCCGTTTCTCTAACACCCAACTACCATATTTATCATCTAAAAGCACTACTTTAATCATCCCACTTCTTCCCTTAGAAATCTTTAGCAACACTTTAATTCCCTGTTTTCCCAAATTTATATACCATGGAACCCCTTTTTAATGTAACAACTGTTAATATACACAGAAGTAGGGCTCTGGCCCAAATTAAATCCCCAAACTACTTTATTAACAACAGTAACAGCTTCCACTTATTGAGTACTTACTATCGTCAGGTACTGAGTTTCTAATATTAACTCATTTAATACTCTTAACAACTCATAACAATGAGGGCAGTATAACTAATATGCCCATTTTTAAAGATGAGGAAACACACTTAGGGAGGTTATATACTTGCCCAAACTTTCCTAACAGCCTAAATCCTGTGCTCTTAACCTCTAAGCTTAATAGTTGAATTTCAAATTATTGTGCAGCTTTTTATTGTTTTTACCTCCTCTTTCTCTGACATTTATTATTTCTTGATGGTGTTATTGGTTCTAGCAGTTTCTCCCTACTCCTTTAAAAAAATTTCCAATGACTGATAAACCATAAAACCAGGCTTATTATTAATTGAATTGTGTGCAAAGTAAGAATCAACAGGCTCTGAAAGCCTGACAAGCTCTTCTATGAGTCTTGTGTTTGCCCTTACAGTCCCCTACTTTGGCTGCCCAGAGATATTTTTATCAATAATGTTCGTCTGGGTTGTAACAGCCTCCTAACCCATCTCCCAAATCCATCATCAACCTGGCTGCAGGATGATCTATTTAAATCACAAGTGTGACCATAGTACTCCCTAGAGTAAAATGTTCCAGTGGTTCCCTTTGATTTAGAGGATCAAGTCTTTAACGTGGCATATAAGGCCATCTGGTCCCTGCTTGCCTCTCTGGCCTCATCCCTCACTATTCTCTGCCTTAACACTTGTCCCTCAAGCCATGCTTCTAATTCTCCTGTGCACACACTCACCAGGCTCTTTCTTTCCTTTGTTCTTCTTTGTGCCTTTGCTCTTGCTACCTATCCCCCATGCCTGAAAGCCCTTCTCCCTCATTACTTGGCTAACTTGTACTCATCCTTTAAGACACAGCTCATGAGTCACCTGCTCCAGGAAACAGTCTCTGGCAACCTTCCCCAGCCCTCAAATGCTTGCTGAGTATCCCTCTCATTAAGTTCTCATATCTCTATTGCTTCAGGTGTACATTGTTTTTTGAAATTGTCATTTATATACCTGTGAGATCCTTAAGAATGGAAATTATATGGCCTACCAATTTAGCATCTCCAAAGTGATACACAATAGAAGCTCAATAAAGGTTAGATGAATGGATTTTAAAAATCTGTAAGTGATGTATTTTCCCTGTTACCTAAGATACCAAATTATTAGTGTCTAAGTAGTGGCTGGCATACAGCAGGAACTTAATGATACTTGTGAATGGGAAAACGAGTGTATAAATGAATTTCAAGACTTTTCATAATTTGATTCCTTATAAATGTGCACCCTTCACTCCAGTCAGACTGGTTTCTTCTCTGTTCTTACTTCATCTACAAGTCAGGTAAACCTTTAAGCCTTTGCTAATTCTCATTTTCTCAGTAGGAATACCTAGAGTCTTCTCCATAATTATTAAGTACCATCCATCAATAACACCCACTCCATGAGGCTTCCACTTGTGACTATAATTTTTTTCCTCTGGTCTGGACCAACACATCCTAAAGGTCATTCCATGGAACAGTAGTTCTGCAAAATATTTATATATGTTACAGAGAAAAGAATTTTGTAATTAAAGAAATGTTGGGAAATGCTACATGAAATAATGCTAAATTATTTCTGAATTGCAGAACCTCTCTGAACCTTCAGTTTGCAAGTGAGCATTTTGAGTCTCTAAGTGGAAGAAACCTTACGCAGAACTTCCCAAACTTATTTGCCCTCAGAATCCTTTTCATGTTTAAAATCTCTTAGGACTATGTTCCATGGAAGATACTTTGGGAAATGCTGGTCTGTACCTTGGGTTTTTAGGTCGGCATGAAATTTGTGCACGCACACACTCTCATGCGCATACACATACACACACTACCATTTCACGTGTATGTGATTTGGCTGTCCTACTTGGTTGCTTATATTTTTCTTTTGTTGTATATTTTTTGATTAATGTAATGGCTCACCTTCCACTGATAACTATAAGGATTTTTAATATTTTGTGATTGCTAAACCATTGTATACTATTATCATTAAGTAAATGTATTGGTATATTTTCTAGGACCTTCTACCCCTCTTGCCTGGCACCATTGCTGGTGAAATAGAATCAAAGGCTGCGAACCTCAATAATTTGGTAGTAGAAGCCTATCAGGTATGTATATATTATACACAATTTTTTCAAATAAACTTTTAACCCCAACTGCTGTTGCAAGGTTCAAAGTAGTGCCATGTCATGTTGAGGGGAATCCTGGAAAGAACATTAGATTAGGAACTCAGAACCTGAGTTTAGCTCTGGCTCTACCACTAACTAGCTATGGAAGCTCGTGAAAGTCACTTCAGCTCTCTGTGCCTCACTGTGTTTCATTGGCAGTAAGTAAACTCAGGTTGGGCTAAAGGCTGTCTAAATTTCCTTCCAAATCAAATGTTCAGTGAGTCACCAAATCATGGCTATAGAATATACTTTATTACCAAGAAATTTCACAATTTCCTATGTCGTAAAGATAAAGTAAGAAATCCACACTGTTATTTAAAGCAGCAGTCTATCAGGGAAAATGAACTATCTGGGATATAGAGATTACTAAGAGGACTCTGTTGAGGTCTCCTAGATCAATCACTTGATTGTTCAATCAGTTATTTTAGCAGTTTTATCAAATTAGTTTGATTAAAAAAATCATCTTAGGAGAGATACTGTTTTACTGAGTTGACAGTTGTATGCTTATCCCCAGTCTATGAAGATTGGGTGCCAAATGCAAAGATTTAAAGAAATATCTTCTCTTTCAACCTAGGTCATCCCTGAATAGAATATGCTCTGTTAAGACATTGTAATAATAGTGACTGTTAACTTTAATACCACTGAGAACCAGTTACTTTTCATACATGACCTCATTTAATCTGCACAATTGACCTATAAGGCAGGTGTTAGTAATCCCATTGTGTATTTGTAGAACCTCAAAGAAGCTGAGCAAATTAAGCAAAGGTCAAACAGCTTACAAGAAGAAGAATCAGGATCAGAACCCAGGTCTTCATTAACTCCAGGTGCTTCCTCCTGTGCGATATCACCTGTTTTTGTTTTTGTTTTTACATAGTGTCCAAATATGCTTTATTCTACCTTGAATTTATGGGCCATTGATAAAGTCTCACTTTTCAAAATTCTCTGATTCCCTTCCTGACACAGTAGAGTTGAACAGCATAAATAGTGCCCAAGCATTGTGAGAAACCTCAAGCTACTTCTCTTCTCATTTTCTCCATGCAGCATCTACCTTCAACTCAGGTACAAAAGCGAAAGGCAGGAGGTAGGCATGGGATAGAAAATGAAGGATTTGTTTAAACTTTCTCCTTTTAAAAGGAAAATAAGGACTAGCCCTGGTAACCTAGTGGTTAAGTTCGGTATGCTCAGCTTTGGCGGCCTGGGTTAGGTTCCCAGGCACGGACCTACACCACTCATCTGTTCAGTGGCCATGCTGTGGTGGCTCACATACAAAACCAGGAAGATTGGAAGTGGATGTTAGCTCAGGGCAAATCTTCCTCAGCAAAAAAAAAAAATTAAAAAATAGAAAAATAAAAGGAGGGACTGGCCCAGTGGCATAGTGGTTGGGTTTGTGTGCTCTGCTTCGGCAGCCCACGGTTTACAGGTTCAGTCCCAGGTGCCGACCTACATGCTGCTCATCAGGCCATGCTGTGGTAGCCTCCCATCTGCAGAATAGAGGAGGACTGGCAACGGATATTGGCTCAGGGCCAATCTTCCTCACCCAAAATAATAATAATAATAAATAAAAGGAAAATAAGTCTTGTGAGATCTTTTTTTCTTGCCAAAAAATTGTTCTATGTCTGAAAACGATGTTGGATGAAATAAGAAGAACATCTTTAATTATATTTCTTTCTCACTGCTGCAAAAGAATATTAGGACTGGGGGAACTTCTTATCAAGGAAAATCAAACGTGTACAATTGGTTTCCATCGGTAGTTTGTTCCCAAGAATAATCAAAATAAGGAAGGAGCTTACAATGTTAAACATCACTCTAATTTTTATAGTATGAACCCATTTCTTACCCTAAACAAGGAATATAAATTGACACACTTACCTGTGTGTCAGTACCAATGTAAAGGGAGATAGCAGTGTTTGGTTTCATGTTATTTGCCCAGGGTAGGTGTGGGATACCTTGGCTAATTGCAGTTCTGATTAGCCTTAAACGATGGGAAAATAAAGCAAATCCAACAAAAACTTACTCTGGCTATCTAATCTCCTTAAGGTGGAATTCTGTTGTTATTTTATATATATCTATATTTTCAAAATTCTTCTGAAATTTCATTTTGTCTTCACAGTCCGACAGAAACAATTCACAATTCATTGAAGAAAACAAAAGAATAAAATTATTCCATTCTAACTTTTCATTTTTTGCATTTCCTTTTTAAGAATTTTATAAAATTATATACAAATTTAGTACACAGTGAATGTGACTGCATTTTATTTTTATTCTTTATATCAGCACTGCCATTAGAATTAAAATTATATAAAAATCATGACTTATAATAACATAATAGTAATTTCACTGAAATTAAGAAATGAAAAATAAATTATATTTAATAAAAAAAAGATTAAAGATCAGAAAAAAAAAATTCTGCTTCTGTACCTGTTAGTTAGTAAAAGAGAAGTTTAAGATTGTGTCTGGAGCTTAATTTCTAAATCCCCAAACTGGGCAAAATGTTAGAAATTTGTCTTCACAGCTTGAAAAACACTGGTGTAACTAGTTTAAGATTTTAAGAGAAGCAAAATTTCCAAAGGGCAAACTGAGAACACTCATTATATTAGGAATTTCTCTGTCAAACCATCACCATATCAACACCATTTTTGTATACCATTATAAGTTTCTATTGATTTGCTAAAATTGTTCAATTAAGTGATTACAATTTATGAGCTCTCGGGGAGATAAAAAAAAATGTGGCTGACATAGTCTTACCTAATCCAAATAAAATTTACTAATTTGAGGATGTATCCTGTTCTAAAGATTTACTACCGTAATTCCATGATCAATTATTAATCAGTAAGAACACATCTCTTTATCAATTATATAGTTGAAGAAAAATTACTCAATTAAATAATTATAAGCCATTAGAAATTTTTTTTTCTTTATACCCTGCTACTCACTCTCTTTCCTTAGGTACACACTTCATCTTTTCCTTTTGTTTACAAGTATAAGTTAAGGATTTCTGTATGTGGTAGACTCTTAGTTTTATGAGATTAAATACACACAGACCTACAGTATATATTTAATGTAGCCAAAACTTTTGGAACTCAGAGATTGTCATGGAAAAAATTAGTGTATGCTTGACATATGATAGGCTTTACATAGATGTTTTCTGAATGATTGCATAAACGAGTGAGTAAATGAGTGAATCATTTTCTGCCCAGTAAAGGGCCCTATTTCAGTATTAAGGATTGGAACAAATTTAATTGATACAAAGCAGGCCCCAGGGACTTGGCAGAAATCCTAGGCCATTCTTGGAGAATTGATAGGCCCATATCTGGCAGGTAATTCTTATGCCTACAATATAGAAATGCCCTCCCCAAAATTTACTTTTCAATTCTGTATCAATAAAGCATTTTAGCTTTCATTATGGTCTAGAGTGTTTGAAACGAAAATGTTTCTTTAACAGCTGTAAATGTCAGAAGCATGTTCCAGATTTTTAGCTGTCAAGGTTTACTTTCTGTGATGATATATGTCTTCTCAAAGTTTTATTTAAATTTCATCACAAAATATAAATACTATTGGATTAAAAAATGATTATTTTTGTAACGCAAGCTGGGTGAGAAATATCTTTGAAGTGATCAAAATGCATAGTCATGGAAATATGTGAAAAAAATAGAGCAATTTAAATCTAGATAGTCTAGTCCTTCAGTATTTCTTATGTATTTCAAATATAATTGGGTCATTATGTGGAAACACTGTTTTTGTTCATCCTTTTATAGAGACAGACCCTTTGATTTAGTTAAAAATTAAATCTAGAATGGTTTAATGAGCCTGACTCTGTTTAGTTGCTTACATTTGAAACTGCTATAGGATACAATTAAAAAATAATGTCTCTGCAGAAACTCATTTCAGAAGTGAAAGTTCAGGTGGAAAACCAGGTAAAAGACGTCTATTTTAACATTACTGCCATCTGTCCAGATGGGACCAGACAGCCAGGCACAGATGGATGCAGAAATGTGACAAGCAATGATGAGGTACGTGGGTGTGCATTTTTCCCATTTAACATAAACTACATTGTTTGGCATGCTTTCTCACAGAAAATCAAATCATTCTAAAAAACTTTACTCACTACTGACTCCAAGGATCTTATTTACACTTCAAAGTAACTTTTATTGTCTCTTGCAAAGTTCTTACTTATTTTTAACCCCATTGACTATTCTCTCAAACTCTCAAGTTAAAGTAAATATATATATATATATTATATTAAATACTTATTTAATAATAACTTCAAACTTAGTGTCACAGCCAGTATATATTAGGAAATCATATCTCATCAAACAAGTAGTGTCTGTACTTATGATGATGATAATTCCTTTTTGGTTTCAAATCTGAAAATTCTCAGAGTAAATGTGAAATTGAAGGTAATAAGCCACAGAAAAGAATGGAAGTGATGGAGCAGCCGATAAAGACTAACAATTTCAAAATCTTTCACTTTGTGATTGTCCCAATACGCTCATAATGATATAGGAGGAGATAGGGAAATTCATTAAGAACAATAAAAACAAGTGTCATCATTTAACTAAAAAGGGATGAAATATGGAAAAGAGAGGCCTAGATTATAGCAGTGTCAGGAAATACCACCAGGGGAGATAGGGATTCTTCCAGGATCGGCAGAAGAGAGAGTAAGCACACAGAAACATACTTTTAAAGGGAATTTTTGTTGGATGAAGTGATTTTCAGTGAGTCATTTACCTCTTGATGCATCAGCTGCCTCATTTTTAAATAAATAGCTCGTACTAGAAGATTTCTAATCCCTCTTCCTTCTATCTCTAAGGTTCTATGATGTAATTATTAATTATTTTAATGTCATGCTATAGAGAAGAAGAAGAAGAGCTATTGAAAGACATAAAAGATCCTAAGATTCTAAGACTGAATAAAAGAGAATCTTCCTTTCTCTTTAGTTAACATATATTTTTCCCTCTTGGGAAGTTTAGAATCTGCAGGTAGTATAGTTTCTTCAACAAGCTGTTTATTTGAAATTAATTATTGCTAGTTTCTAATTCTGTAGGCTCCTCCATAATCACTCCTTGGATTTTGTTCAAAAGACATTATATACCAGTTTACAAAATACATATTTGATTTCCATTAAATATAGAGAAAACTTTGTGCTAGCAAAAGACAGCACTAAGTAACTGTCTGAGAAAGGCTTACCCTCTAGAAGCTTTTTCTTTCAAAATTGGTTTTGGTAGAATGGTTTTCCTTACTTCTTACATTTTTTTTTTCTTTTTCTTTGTCTACTCCTCTTTTTTCCCCTTACTTTTAACCAAGTGGTATAAACAGTTTGACTCTCAGGAAGAGTCATATGACCTTTTAATTATATAAACCCAAATCTTTGCTCTATTATTAATATTGGCAGTAACCAAATTATTCTATACATCTGTTAATCCTTAACATTCTTAAAGACAAATAACATTTCAAGTACAACACCAACTGTATTGATTTTAATATTATGAGACTGATTCCAATTCCCAATGCATATAGGTAATATATAAGCCTATTAAATTTAGATTTTTCATATCATTATGTGAGTGTGTGTGTATGTGTATGTATATGTATTTGTGCAAGGCTTTTCAGTTGGGATGGAGATATAGATCTATATAGATAGAGATAGAGATGCATATATATATACGAACAGATATATATGGAGGATATATATGAATAGACATATCCACAATATATCATCCATATATGTGTGTATATATATATCTCCATCCATATATATCTGTTCATGTATATCTATATGAATCTTTCTCTGTATAGATAGATACATATAGATATATATGTCTCCATCCCATCCAAAAAGCCTAGCATAAATTATTTTTAAATTGTAATGGATCTCAGTGTAACATGGAAAAAACATATAACCTGCTTATTTCCAAAGTACCTGAAGATTGTAGAGTAGGTTAACAAATATAAATAGACACATTAAACCAGTTGTGTTGTGCAAAAAGAAAAAAATAGAGAAAAAGGGAAAATTTTGCAGGAGAAATAAATTCTGTAGTTTCATGAGGGAAACCAATTCCTGCCAGCCCAGATCCTTACCTCTGGGCTAACATCTCCACTGAGACAAATGTGTAACCTTGTATTGAGATCTTAAGATCTAACAGTGAGAATCCTAAATCTTTTTCCCTTGAGTAACAGCAGAGAAAGCCTCATGTTTTCCTCCATTAACACCATGTATAAACTAAAATTTAACTCTGAAATTTTACTTGGACCCCTAGAAAATAGGAACAAAATAAAAATTGTTCATTTGAACATCTCATCTCAGGGTTTTAAACCAGTAGAGCAGAAGCCCTTTACTTTAGTTTATTTGGTCTATCACTAATGCCAAATATTCAGTAACCCTACATTTTAAGGACTGAGTCCAGAAAATCATCTGTTCTCTCTTAAGTTTGCTACATCAATTGAGGACATAACTTAATCATCAGAAGTGGAGTGGACATTTCAAATAGGCTTGAACCCATGTCCATTTAATGGTGCAGTGTAGGCAAGTAGCAGTCACTGCATCCTTTAACTCTCTAGTTCATTAATTAGGAAATAAATGAAACTTATAAAGGATGTTATGTCTATGTATGAAAGAGAGTGCATATGTAATTTATAAATATTATTAATTTCTATAACATAGTATACTATTGATTCAATATAGCATTAACAGATATAATATTGCTAATAAAAATAATCAACACATATGAATATATTTTCTTTCCTCCCCACATTTAGGTTCTTTTCAATGTAACAGTTACAATGAAAAAATGTGATGTCACAGGAGGAAAAAGCTATGCAATAATCAAACCTATTGGTTTCAATGAAACCACTAAAATTCATATACACAAAAACTGCAGCTGTCAGTGTGATGACAGCAGAGGACCTAAAAGAAAATGCGTAGATGAAACTTTTCTAGATGCCAAGTGTTTCCAGTGCGATGAAAATAAATGCCATTTTGATGAAGATCAATTTCCTTCTGAGAGTTGCAAGTCACACAAGGATCAACCTGTTTGCAGTGGTCGAGGAGTTTGTATTTGTGGGAAATGTTTATGTCACAAAATTAAGCTTGGAAAAGTATATGGAAAATACTGTGAAAAGGATGACTTTTCTTGTCCATATCACCATGGAAATCTGTGTGCTGGTGAGTATAAATATATACATGAAGTTTTTACTAGTCATTATTAAATTAGCATATATGTTAAAGTATCTTTAAAAATCACATCTTTATAATTACCAACCCTGAATCTGAATTTAATACTTAAAGTTTTCAAAGTCTTTGAAATTAGGACATGTCAATAAACTTATAGCACATGATTCTGATATTTATATTTTAAATTATTTTGTACAGGAAATACTTAAAAATAACCAAAAATTAATTGTTATTTTCTAGTATGCCTTGACCTTGTAAAGATATATACTAGAAAAGGAAATTACTGACGATGTCTGACAAGTTTTCTATAATCAGAGTATTCTTCTAGAAGGATCTGACTCATTCTCATAAGTGGTCACTCTCTCTAGTTTGCTCAGAGGATAGTGAGCTATAAAAACATATTTTTCATTCACTGGAAAATTCTTACTGCATTATTATAGATGGTATTATAAATTTATAGTAATTTAAACCTCTCCAGTTTGTTTTTGGAACAATGCCAGCAACAGAATTGTCAAAGACAGCATTCTTCAAGAAAATACTGGTTTCATATGTAACTGAGAAGATTAGTCCCAGAGGCCACATACAGACCAAATTTAAAACAAAAATATCTTATTTTTTAGCTAATTCAGTTTTTTGCCACCTAGAGGTTAGATTCCAGAAAATCTATGCAACATTTGAAAATTAATACAAAATAATTGTTTTTAAATGAATTAATTTTTTCTGTGACAGTGTGCTAAATCCACTTGTTGTTAAAACACCTTGTTAGTGTTTACATTTTGGTAAGCCAATATTAAATTACTGATGAACTGAAATATTTCATTGTCATAAGAATATAGAAAGTAACAAATCTATACAAAATAAATTTCCTATTCTTGTGTAAACTAAAAATTTGCCCTATATCATGTAAATATGTGATGGCAAATTGCCTTTTTATTTTATTATATACACAGAATATTTTATATTCCAAACATTTATTCAGCTGTACCTGGTATCATATGTAGAATAGATTATAGATGACTTTAGAAGAAACCAGAAATTGTCTGCTAACTTTTTAGAGGTAATCCTGCTTGGGACAGGGAAGAAAAAGAATTCTGAGATCATTTCCTACAGCTGTCAATCTCTCAAAGAAGTCTGAAATACATTGAGGATCCCAGTCTCTGCTTATAGTAAAACATCATAAATCAGTGTACTGAGCCTTCTATATGACTGTGATACTACTGACCCACAGGCATTTAAGAATCTGCTTTGAATTATTTATGTATAAGTTGTAAGTGCAAACTGTAGGCTGACAAGCATTTTCTTCACTAGTATCCTTTGAGAATAAAAACACATGTTCACAGATCAGCTGGCTAGGATTAGGCGTGTAGCCTACATACGGGGAACAAGGTCTGGCAGGCATTTGTTTGGCCTGGACCTCATTAGTTTTTCACTTAGCAAACTGAGCTTATACAACAGTAGACTCTGTGGAAGTTACCCTGTGAGGTACTCTACAATAAAGGGAGGGAGGGAGGAAGCCAAGAATTGAGGGAAGGAAGGAAGGGAGGGAGAGGAGGGGAGCAGAGGGAAGGGGAGGTCTGTGACCAAATAAGCTTGAGAAACACTATATAACCCTGTAAAATGTACCACCCTCTTGAAGATTTCTAGTTCACATTAGCATATTAAATTTTGGATACTTCCTGCAGTCTAAAATTCATTTAACTACATATAACTAGTGTTTTTCCTAAACTTATTTGTCCACATAAATGCCCCCAACCCCAGCACACACACACCCACCTTGCTTTCTCTCTTGCTTTCTCTCATTTACCACCTAATAACAGCTCACAACATAATTTAGGACATACCCCACTAACCTGTTAAATAATGTGCTAAAGATGTGAAAGGATTAGTTCAACTTCCCCAGAGATCTTGTCTTTAAACATGACACTAACAGAACTGAAGCACTAGAAGGGTCTGCCTCACAGACCTTCAGAGTTATGCCAGGTCCTTAGTAGTAACAAGAGACTAGGAGAATAAATTATGGAAGCTATTAATCAGATACTCCTGTTTTTCAGATTTCAAGTCAGACAATTAACATTACTTCAGCCTTTGTAGCTTCTTTATATTTGTGTATTTTTAATTTAAAACTGAATGTACAGTGACCTTCAAGTAGTAGGGCAGCCACTGTAGCAGGGCAGACTTCCCAACTGTTAGCACAATAGATTAGCAATGGGAGATTATCTACAATAGAACAGCTTTGAAAATAGACACTCCTAAATCCTGGCACTGTTTATGTCAGACAACTAGAAAATGATGATGTTTCCATTCACTTGACTGTCAGTGTGTTTCCATGGAGATGGGAGGGGAATCCATGTTTGGAAATGCTTCACAAAGTTGGTGGCCCCAATAACTTACATCCTGGAGTGTCTTTGTTGCAGGGCATGGAGAGTGTGAAGCAGGCAGATGCCAGTGCTTCAGTGGCTGGGAAGGGGATCGGTGCCAGTGCCCATCAGCATCAGCCCAACACTGTGTCAACCCAAAGGGCCAAGTGTGTAGTGGAAGAGGCACATGTGTATGTGGCAGGTGTGAGTGCACCGATCCCAGGAGCATTGGCCGCTTCTGTGAACACTGCCCCACATGTCACACAGCCTGCAGTGAAAACTGGTATGTGTTCTCTGACTCCAAAAATACATAAAGCAGTCCTTTGTTACAGCTATGTCCATCCGTTTTTATCTTGTCTTCCTTATTCTTAGAAGTTGCTGGATCTTCTCCTCCAGATACATTGTTATCATCGTGCTAAACAAGAACTGAATGGGGAATGTAGGAATTAGAAGACTTAGATTCCAATCTTTGGCCACTAGAAAGCTGGGGAAGCATCAGAATTTATCTAGACATTCACTAGATAAAAAGCTAAAGCCTTAGTGTTTTTGAAATAGGTTTGTTTTTTTTAAAGAATACTACTCGGTGTTCATAAGGGTTCATTGGGGTTTTTTTCCCCCAGCTTTATGTAGATATAATTGACATATAACCTTGTGTAAGTTTAAAGTGTACAACGTGATAATTTAGAGGCTGCCTACTCCCCAGCTTACTATTAATTAGCTGTTTAGGGCAAGTTGTTGAAGTTCTCTGGGCCTCTTTTTCCTGATATCAAAAGTGAGGATAATAATAATAATACCTGGCTACAGTTCTGTGAAAGAACTGAATTAGATGATTCATGTAAAAAAAAAACCTAGGGGCTGGCCCCATGGTGTAGTAGTTGGGTTCAGCATGTTCTGCTTTGGCAGCCGGGGTTCACAGGTTTGGATCCTGGGCACGGACCTACACCACTCATCAGCCACATTGTGGTGGTGACCCACATGTAAAAAGTAGAGGAAGTATATATACACAATGGAATACTACTCAGCCATAAGAAACGACGAAATCCAGCCATTTGTGACAACATGGATGGACTTTGAGGGTATAATGCAAAGTGAAATAAGTCAGAGGGAGAAGGCCAAATACCGTATGATTTCCTTCATTAAGTAGTAGATAATAACAACAATAAACAAACACATAGGGACAGAGATTGGATTGGTGGTTACCAGAGGGGAAGGGGGGAGGGAGGAGGGTGAAAGGGATAATTCGGTACATGTGTGTGGTGATGGGTTGTAATTAGTATTTTGGTGGTGAACATGATGTAGTCCATGCAGAAATAGAAGTACAATGATGTACATCTGAAATTTTTGCAATGTTATAAACCAATGTTACTGCAATAAAAAAAAAAAAAAAAAAAAAAAAAAAAAAAAGTAGAGGAAGATTGGCAACAGATGTTAGCTCAGGGCTAATCTTCCTAAGCAAAAAAAAAAAAAAAAAAAAAAACCTAAACTTTTGTTCTTGGGGCATAGTAATCATAGAATAAATTTTAATTGTTATTGTTTTATTTTTATTATTTTAAAGATAAAGAATAATGGTGGCTATAAGGCACTCTAGAAATAAGTGATAGATAAATGAAAGGTGATATGTTAAATGAAGGTGGCATTATTGTTTTGTGCCAATAATTAATTTTCCAATAACAGTTTTAGTCCTGCTCAAACAAAGGCCACTGCTCTAAACATCACTGTGCCTTCCAATTTGTTTCATTCAAATTTTTTAAGACATTCATTTTCTCAGATTGGTAGCTCAAGTAAAATTGTTTAAATTATGCATAGTAATTTACGTACCTCACTTGGAAATGCAGTACTTAAACAAAACGATGGAGTTATTTCTAATGAACCCAACTAAATTTGAACTGTGTATTCAATTGCTAAACTTTTCTGGTGGTATCGTAATATTCATCTTCTAAACCATCTATGCAAAGTTTTTTTTTTGTAATGAGAGTATTTTATTCATTTCCTAGAGATTTTCTTCTCACTACAGGAAAATCATTAATTTTATACATTATTAAAATATTTTAAATGGTTAGAATGTAACTTTGCCATGGTACAAAATTCAGCCAAGATTACCAATAAATGTCATACCTTTCTTTCCCAGTTTTATAAGGCTGCTGTCTTAAAGCAGTACTCTAATTTGTTGTTTTATTTCTTGCAGAAAATACTACAGGCTACAACCTTTTTAAAGATTAAATATTTTCTCTTCTGTTTCCCCTTACAGGAATTGTGTGCAATGCCTTCACCCTCATAACCTGTCTCAAGCTTTACTTGATCGGTGTAAAACCTCATGTGCTCTCATGGAACAGCATTATGCAGACCAAACATCAGGTAAACCAAAGCTTAATAGTCAAAGCACAGAAGAGTATCTGTAGAGAATCTCGTTCCCCAAAAGGACCCATAGTCAACCATCCTAAAGAAAGAACTAACTGCTTCAGTGTTTTCAATCTCCCAGAGATGGTACTCTATAAAATCAGCTGAGTATATTTGCCGTGGTTTGGCTCACTTGTTAGATGTCCCATCTCAACTACCCAGCTACATTCCTATGCTGTGCACCTCTGTGGAAGCACACCAAACAGTTTTTATAGGGAGGCCTCAATGAGTCAAGAATAGGAGTTTCCTGTGTAGAGTCCCTTTCACCTTTAGAGACAAGATCTATGGAGCCACAATTATCCTTCATAACCCAAACTTTCTTCCAGTTGTAACCTTCCTCATGTCAAACCAACACTGACTTTCATGTTTCAGATAAAGCCAAAAAATTCTAAGTAGGAATGATCTGCTTTTGCAAAATACATAACTTTGAAAGGGCCATTCCTTCCTGGTACTTTTCATTCTGATATAAATATAATTTAGGGGTGAATGATAATAAAGGTGGCAAATGGAAAGGAATGGAACTTTTAGTCTGAAGACCTTGGCTTAAGGCATGTCCTTGACACCAGTAGCTAAGAAATATCAGCCTTCTTACAAAATTTCTTTGAGCCTGTTTCCTCTTCTTAAAATGGAGATAATAATACCAACCTCAAAGAGTTGCATGAGATTAAATGAGCCAGTGACCATGAAAGAAGTATGTAAATTAAAATACGACATATAAATGGGAGAAACATGTGAAAGCTATACTCAAAGAGCAATTTTACACAAAAGTTCATTAGAACCCAAAAGCCAGCACCCCACTTTGCTCAGGTAAAGCTGTTAAACTACACATGAATTAGAAATAAAGCTTGAAATTATGTCTTCACTGAAGACATTCCTACTGCTGCTATTATTTCCAGTCTCTCTTCCAACCTGTAAGAATAATTCCAGCTCTTACAGAGATTGCACAGAAGAATAACTTTTTCCCGAGTTTTGTTTCCTTTTTCCCTCACATCCACACTGTTCTTAGCCCATAATGAATTTGGCTCTGAACCGAGCCCATGTGCTGCCAGCTGGGGCTGCAGAAATCACTCCAGAAAGCCAAGTGCCTTTTCTAATAAATAGAGCCCTTACTGTCAGCATGTCATTTATTATGTTAAGTAAACAAACTTACTCTGACCTAAGTGTGGTTACAAAAAGTATTCCCTTAAAGCTCCCCCCTTGCTTGACCTAAACTAAGAGAAGAGTCATGGCCAGGGCTAAATGTTTGGCTAGCCAAAATGACATTTTAAAATGATGCACACTGATTTGAGCCCTGAAAATGTCCTCTATCCTAACCCATTAGTAATATTTGTAAAATGTATTGGTAGCTAGGGGGCTCCCCTGCCCTTCACAACTATTGTGCAAGAAGAGGGAAAGGGCATTTGTTAGCCACCTCTATTATCTAGCCTCTCAATCACTCTTAAAGGGTGTTCTTTTGGTCTTTCTGGCTAAGCTCCTACTAGGCGAGGAGCCAGTAAGTGGGATCAAGCCACGTGCCCCCTTTGAGGATCTGCCTTAGTTGACTGAGTAGTTCTAAGTCAGCCAAGGGAAATGACAGTCTGTCAGAATGAAAGGCATGTCATGAACCCGAAGATTGCCGTGGAAGATCCAAGGGCACCACCTTTGAATAGAGCATCTTGGATTCTCTCTGTGTGTGAGACCTGTAACAAAGAGAGACTTGCACTTGTGTTTGGTGCTACAATTCCAATTAGGAGTTCTCCGGCCTCCCTTTAGCTTTTCTTTCAAGGAACCTTATCACTGACCAGAAGAAAACTGGGCTCTAAATCTTCCCGCTTGGAGAGGAGCCCTTGCTTTTGTTACTGAGTTCTTGGCTTATTCAAGAGCATGCTTGGTCATCCCTGGGAATTCAGACATAAATCACCCACGACTGGGTGAAATCACCCATGCTCTTCTAAGCCTTGGCAGATCCCCTCCTGAAAGGCTCTCTCAGGGAGACCTTCAGACATTTAGGTGAAGTCCCCAAAGTCTGGATAATGGGCAGAAAACATGCCTCTTTAGGCCAGGAGGTAATTTTGTGAGTCTGGGGCAGCTGGTGAGTTCTGTGGAATGCTTGCACATTGTGCAACCATCTTCCTCTTAGATTAGGGTAATACCTCTGGCAGCCACAGAGCCTGTAGACTTTCCAACTAGAGTTTGCCAAAGTCTGGTGCTAAAACAGAGACCTAGCATGCCCCCTCCTCTTAACACAGCATTTCCTTTTCCAGCTAGTAATTATTTGTTCTTGAAAAAATACACAGTGGAATTTTTAGAAGCAAAATAGGATAGATTTGGTTAACAGACAAGTAAAAAATGAATTAGTAAAAGTTGAGGAAAGAGATTTGTGTATTGTCCCAAATTGCACACTCCTGTGTCCTGGAGAGGCTATGTGTAATAATAACGAAAATTTATACAGCCATTTCAAAGGAAATATTTATTCATCTATTAAAGTAGTACTGATTTTAGCTTCTGCGGATGTTTACTTTGTTTTCCATTACTGGTGTGCAACAAATGAAGAACAAGCATAACAAGAGAAACAAAGGCTAATGTGCAGAGTTGTTAATTTTTTAAATCCTATTTTCTACTTAGTGATCAACAATACACACTGCAAACAGTCCCTCTCTCTGTCATGGATAAAATTATATTTGGTTAAAGGATTTGGACACATTCCAGTTAATACAATTAAAGAATCAAGCTGCCAAGAAATAACCTTATTGAATACCTTAATTGTGGCTATTCTCCAAAGGAGAGTTTTCTGTTGAAAATGTTTTAGTAATAAATGTGTAATAAAAATTAGAGAGTTTGCTTTTTGAGTCAACAGTAATGGCAGTCCTCTGTTTTGAAAATGTAGATTTGCAAATATCACTGGTCCTATTAATTGAGATGGTGAACATTGTTTACTCATTAGAATCCTTTGATTTACTTATTCCAGTTTTTTAATGTATTTATTTGTTTGCTTCATTACAGAATGTTTCTCTAGCCCAAGCTACTTGAGAATATTTTTCATCATCTTCATAGTTACATTCTTGATTGGGTTGCTTAAAGTCCTTATCATTAGACAGGTGATACTACAATGGAACAGTAATAAAATTAAGTCCTCGGCAGATTACAGGGTGTCAGCCTCAAAAAAGGTCAGTGAACTCTAAAAAAGAATTACTATAAATATGTCATTGTCTGCTTCTAATATGTAGGCCCTTATTAATGGTAATATTTCTTCTCCATCAAGGACAAGTTGATTCTGCAAAGTGTTTGCACAAGAGCAGTAACCTACCGACGTGAGAAACCTGAAGAAATAAAAATGGATATCAGCAAATTAAATGCTCATGAAACTTTCAGGTGCAACTTTTAAAAGATAAAAAGTACTTTATGGGAAACTGGATTTTTAGAAATTGCTCCTAAAAATTATAATTTTAGAAGTCACAGGAGGAGAGAAATTGTTCTAGATCATGCTGGTTGCTGGTTGTCCACTCGAATGAAGACTGATAAGCATCCTCATCATCATGTGACTCACATCGCTGCTGAATTTTTCAGAGAAAAATGTGTCTTACTACTGTTTGAGACTAGTGTCATTGTAGCACTTTACTGTAATATATAACTTATTTAGATCAGCATAGAATGTAGATCATCTGAAGAGCACTGATTACACTTTACAGGTACCTGCCATTCCTGCGCTTCCCAGAGAGAGACAATGCTGTGAGATAGTTTTGGCATTGTGTCACTACAAGGGTACAATAATCCCTGCACCGAACATGCAGATGAAAAAAATAATAAGGCAGTTATACTAATGTTGCCAAACACTTCAACAATTGGCAGTGAATAGACAAGAACGGCTAGATGAATAATGGTTAGTGTTCACTCATTCAGGAGGTGAACAGATAGAATCTTAATCTTGAGGGATACTGCTTTTGAAACTGTGTAGTTTTATGCATGTGTGTTTATGTTTTCTTCTTTTTACAAGATGGATACTAATACCCACATTCTCTCCTTTTTTGCCTTTATATTTTGGTTTTCTTTCTTACAGGATAAGTTTATATGTGTCACAGATGACTGGATTACATAAGTGCTAAGTTACTACTGCCATAACAAACTAATAATACAATGTCACTTTATTAGAATACTGGCTTTAAAAGCTGAATATTTAATAAGGGACACTGTCAAGTAACATCAAAATCTGAACAGCTTTGTTGTTTGCAGATGTGGAGTTTTCTATCTTTTTACCTGGCAAACTGGATGGATTGTTTCACCATTTCATTTATCTAATCATCAGGTTGAAATTAACAAGATATTTGGAAACTCTGCCTCAAACAAAGTGCCACACTTTTGAATGAGTTTTCTCAGATATTTTCTCCAAGTTGATATCAGCATTTCTCACATTAAAAGCTATATTATTTCTGCCCTTCAGTGAAGCCTAAGGACATTCTTTCCCTGAATGACCTCAACCCTACTCACCAGAATTCTAAAAGTATGCAATTGGAGGAGGATAGACAATATCCTAGAAATAAGCTAATTCACCCTTTTAGTTAGTCAGGGAACTGAGGCTCAGAAAGTTTAAATGATTTCTCAAAAACCACCCAAGTGATTAAGTGACAGCATTTGAAGAGAACTTCTATCGTCTTATTGCCAGGCCAGTGTTCATTGCACAGTATCATGCTACCTCTTAAATCGTCAAAATGTTCAACTGGCAAGTATTTTTAAATGAGATTTACTGAAGTCTTAAGTATATGGGCATGAGAAAATTTCAAAGCAAAGCAGAAAAGAGTAATTCAAACTGAATCGTCCATGACTGGCTTCCCATCTTTCCTGCTAATCAGCTTCTAAGAGACTGCAGCACAGCCTAACTACAGGGAAACCCATTCACACCATCGCCTGTGTGAACAGTGCTCCCTGGAGTTGTGCAGTGCTCAGCCCAAGAGCTTGATACTACAGAGCCCATAAACTTTTATCTTCCCCAATGGAAACTTCTTCACAATTACCATATCCCTACAGACTTATTCAGTCTGATTTTATTGACTAGAAGTCCAACAGTCCTGTGTGCAGTACAGAGCTTTGCCTATGACAAAAAAGGAATTTATTTAAAACGTCCTTTTATAATTAACTTCCCAGATTTGCTGTCTTCCAGCACTTGAGTTAATCAAATTGCTAGATATTTACATTTCAATGAAGACTAACCCCCACCCCATATTCTATCCTAAAGAGGATTTAAAAACATATAAGTTGTTCTGGAGCCCACAAACCACAGCAGCTCCATTAGCCATCCCGGATAGCTAAGCAATTATGACGCTAAGTTGAACTGTATGTCCTTCCCCAAATGAGAGACTGGGGACATTGACATGATTCAGTACTGTGACTCACTTGTGTAAGATACCTTTACTCACCAAGGATAATGTAAAAATCATATTTTGCAGCCTGCCTGTCATGTATAGCATCTTTTTTTAAAAGGAAAATAAATGGATACCTGACAGCCCCTCAAAAGGGAAAAGTAAAAAATATCCATTCATTAAAATGCTGACATTTTAAAAAATAAACATTACGATGTTCAGAAACTAATTTCCACGTGGAATGAATTATCCAAAAGAGCATAATAAAATAAAACCCTTAAAAACCAAGGGTTTATATTTTCACACTCTCACTAGGTTGCACTAATTTATAATGGACCAAGGCTGTTATCTTAGGAAGGGACAAACTTCCTGATAGGCAGTTCAATGCTAGATAATGATTGTAGTTATGCTTGTGATGTCTTGTTCTTTCTTTTTTTACTTAAAGGTCTAATTCTCAAAGATTTTAGAGCTTATATTTTACTTGAATAATTGATATTTTCCTGTATAATGGCTTGTGAGAAGAGAATTAATATTTGACTAGTTAGAATTAATTAAAAGGTAAGGAGAAACAGGGTATTCTTAGATTAAATAATTTATGTAAATAGAGGCTATTTTCAACTAATATGACCACAGGAGCCTTTCGAGATTCATTGATATTAAATATAAGTAATGAAATTTTAAATGGTTAACAAAGTTAAGAACTTGAACACTTTGGTACGACAGTATTTCTGTGCCCTAAAGTATGTAATGATTTAGAAATGTGCCATATATACACTACAATATAACTTGAGGCATTTTATTTCTCTGGAGACATCTTTACACTGCAGTGTACATGAATTTATAAGCATTTGATATCTTTTTTGGAAATTTATTAATATTTATTGTCATAGATATTCTCTGCAAGATTCAAAAATTCACTAAAAATCTGACTATATTCTAAATGTTCAATTTAGCTTTGGTTTATAAAGATAAAAAAAATGTAAGGTTAAATAGAATAGATTTGTCTGGAGTCAAATTTTTCAAAACTCAAAATTAAAATTAGTGGATGTATCAGATGTAATACTTTACTAAAGAAAATTCCAAATATTTTTTAAATATATACTTAATCTCTATTGAAGATATTCATATGTATGACAGCAGGTATCCATGAGACACTGAAATATTATGATAGACTATGAAAATTTTTCTCCATAGAATTATATTCCTCCTGGTACCTGGTATAGTAAATTAGACTCAATGGCTTTTTCTTCCTTTCCTCACTCTTGTTTTTGCCACTCACTTTTCCTAAGAGATTGCCCTAAAACTTCAAGCTCAAAAAGCCTAATTGTGACAAATAACTAAATGTAATGATATAATGAAGTTCTTCATTTTCAAACATCTCAATAATTTTAAAACTCATTTGAATCTATGTACCTGAAGAAAGACAGACCCATTAAAAACTAAGAATTTTAAAATTTCACATCTGTGCAAGCTTCTTTCAGTTTTAAAGGATTTGAGATCTATATATTTTAATAAAAGTATTAAGTGAAATATAGCTACTTGGGAGTTCAGTCATGTGCATATTGTATTGTTTTATTTACTCTTAACATTTAATTTACAACTATCCTTATCTATATTGACCTTAAGAACTCCATTTCATGCAATGCAAACATATATTTTCAAAGAGATACAGAACTAGCATTCTTTCAGATCATTTCCCTTTTCTTTTATAATTCCTCTATGGGAAATTTATTATGGATAACTGATTATACATATTCATATTTCGTTGATTCTAAGACATCCACTTTTTCAATTTAACGTCTCTGAAATTGTGATGTATCTTGCAATCATTGGCACCTTAGATGCAGTGTTTAAGGTTGTGCTTGAGTAAGTATTACACTAATTCATCTTTAACTAAATGTTCATGGATATAGGGACATTCCTTTTCTTATAAATATTTGAGAACCCATTTAAGATAACATGTGAAGCCAATTTTCAGTACAACTGAATCACATACAACTCAACATGGAGCCTAACTGTCTGATTATAAGCTCAGATCCTGCAGACCTTTAGGTTATAAAAGCTCTTTCAGCCTCCTGTTAATATTTTATGCTAGATTTCTCCCAGTTTTGTTAACAAATTTTCATTCTTTCTATTCTTTTCTAAAGAATACTTTCATATGATCATCTCACTTTTAAACAGAATTAACTGGAAAAATATTACATGAAACCATCATAATTAGATTTTGCAGCATCTTGTATGTCTTATGTCAATGACAGGAGAAAAACATAATACAACCAATCAGTGCTGTAGGAAAAATACTTTCCTTTCTAGTCCTCCTATTTTTTTTACTTCTTTATCATTTCTGTTCTTTTGTTTGATTTTTTTCTTTGGCTCTGATAAGTTTACCTTCAAGCCCATGTAATAACTGTCATAAAACTGCATATTTAAATTATTTGAGTTATATGAAACAATTGTTCAGCTATCTCGGCAGCTGTTAATGGAATACCTGAGAGTAATAACACTACTCTTTTATCTACCTGGAATACTTTCCCACATAAAATTTATCTTTGTAAGCTAACTCAATTAATCAGGTTTCTAACCTCTACAACCTGCTTCAGTTAAAATTATCTAATCCAACAATAGTTTAAAAAAAAAAACACTGCAGTCATCAAGGATGGAAAATGTGTGATTTTGTGTAAAGAACTTTTGCTAACTTTACACTGTACCATGGATAAATGTGATTTTTGATAAGAATTCTACACAATGACAAGTATGGTACATAGATTTTATTAAAAATATTGAATATAAAATATTTTAATTCTAAATTATAAGAAAATATAAATTTGCACATATTAATATAGAAATTCATTTTGTGTATATTTAACATAACTTTAAAACTATTTTGCATTTACCAGCTACTTCGTTTAAGTTTTTTAAACTTCTGCAAAAAAAAAAATTTAGAAATGTTTTTAAATTATCAATAATATAACCTTATTTGTTTCATTTAACAAGTCTTGCTTTTGTAAAAAAAATTTAATATAAAGTGTATTTTTAAATTAAAATATTTGAATATAAAATAGCTCTAAAAAGGAAACAAATTCTCATTAAACAAGTTTCTTATTATTTCTGACTTTGAATTATACATAAAGTTAAATTGCCTTGATTGACACAGAAAATTGGGGAATATGATAATTTCACATAATGTACTATGAACCTGTTCATATAATTCTGATTGACTACTAACTTCTGTTTTATGTATTTATTAAAGAGCTGACACTGTAGTTTGTTGTGAGATGTTTATTTTTCTAACAGAGCTTATAACAGTTATGACAAGGCATTTAATTAATGCATCATTCTGTTTAAAAGTAGCTGTTAACCAATATGAAATTTTATGTTTTAAAATAAAAATGTAAAGATCTAAGAATGCACAGAATGCTTCTTTATTTACCATTGTGTGCTACATGACCCTCAGAGCTGTCAGACAACAGCACATTGTCACACAAGGAAACATAATAAAATCCACATATTGTCATTGGTAGAGGACTTTACGTAATTCCAAAAAACTACTACTTCTAGAAAATTGTAGGGCCAATGATAAAGATGTGGCAATCCTAATTGCTGTATTTATTTCTCTTTCAATAGCTGCCCAACGGTGGAAGCAGAAGGAATATCTTAATTGCAAAGAACTGAAAAATTAGCTAAAAGATAAATCAGGCTTTTTTTCCTGGCCAGAGACTTCTACCATCACCTTGATACAAATATACCACGTTCATAAACTTCAGTTGCACATTCTCAAGAGCCACATTTAACCAACTGAAATTTATGGAATACCCTTGTGTTGTGATTTTTCTTTAGTTAACCTAGGGAGAGCATAAAGCAGATGAGGGGACACATTAAAAGTTAAATAAGACATATAGAGAGATTCTCTGTCTTTAAGGAGTTTTAATAGTTTGAAGGAAAATGTATGTGTAGCATACCTATAGATAGAGGGGTTGCACTGGAAAGATGAGATGGAAGCTATCAGGAGGTCTCACAAGGCATTTTTTTGTGTGAGGAAGATTGGCCCTGAGCTAACATCTGTTGCCAGTCTTCCTCTATTTTGTATGTGGGATGCCATCACAACGCCCAGGATCCAAACCGGCAAACCCTGGGCAGCGGAAGCAGAACACGTGAACTTAACCACTATGCTGCTGGGCCAGCCCACAAGGCCTTTATTTTTGAGAATTCATCCCTGTTGGGTTTGGGCTCTAATCTTTCAGGCTCAGAATCCTGATTTTGTTATGAGTGTTGTTTGGCCCCATTCTTCCCTCCCCCGTTTAGTAATATGACCTACCCCCTGAGTTTCAGTAGAGCACACAGCTGAGACTACTCAGACTCCTTTGCCGCTAAATGTGGTTACAGGACTAAGTGTTGGCCAGAGCGGTAGGAGAAAAAGTGATATGTGCAACCCCAGATCTCACTTCCTCTTTCCCTCTATTTGTTGTCTGGAACAACTGGAGCATCTGTCTTGGAAAGGAAGCCCTGTGCTGAAATGGTCATACGTTCCGAATATGATTTCCTTCAATTTTTTCAAATAAGGAAAACAAGGCACAGAGAGGTTAAGGACCTTGTATAAATGCACACAGCCAGTAAGTAGCCAAGGCAGGATTCATACCCAGATCTGTTTTTCTCTCCATAAATGACTGATGATATGTTTTATGAGGTTAGATTTTACTAGTTTAACGATGTCCCCATGCCCCAGAAAACACAACGCAAC